ATCCCCGGGATTGAGACGCCAGCTCTTAATAAAGGCCGGAAACACTATTTAATACAAAAACTACTAATATTCATGTACCATTTATTTTGTCCTGATCTCTATTCTAAGCATCTTTCAAGCATTATCTCATTTCATTCCCCCAACTTTTGAGGAAGTCCTGTTTTCATTCCCGGATTATAGGGGAGGAAACTGAGCCTTAGAGAGGTGATGTCATGTTGCTACGGCCCTGCAGGTGGTAAGTTGCTGGGCTGGGACACAAGCCCAGACTATTAGGTCTAAACAACTAGATTGTAGACTCTACCCCAGGAGGCTACAAGACCAGTGTATGTTTTCCAAGCCATGTTCAGATCACTCTTTCCTATAAACTTGGGTGCTGCTTGAAACTCTGATCAGCAAAAAGGTATTCATGTATTACTTACATCTTTCAAAATACTCAGATCACCTTGTTTTCCCTTTGGCTCCTGCACTGATTCCTGTGTGGGCAACCCTTCCCAGGACCTTGGCTACTGTTTGTCAGCCTCTAAGTTTTGAAATCTCACTCTTCTTGTTCCAGTAGAGAGGTCCCATCCTCTCTTCATCGTCATCCATCTTCCTACTTCATTAATCCCAAGGACAGCTCAGGTTAAACTCTTATTTAGCCTTCAAGCTTACAGACAGTCTGCTCTGGTCTGTTGATAAGATGAAGAGGTACATCCTTCAAGTGCTATTTGACAATTAGACATGTCCTTCCAATTTGAGGCAAACTATTGCAGTAACTGAGAGAAGGGCCAGGGCTGGCAGGATGTGTGTCTTTTCTAGAGGCGGGGATGACAAAGAGAAGAGGTGGGAAGATGGCACTGTATATAAGATTCCTTTTGTAAAAAAGGCAAAAATGACTCCTGCAGGCAAGAGGGAACTGCCTAAGTAAGTTGTTTATTCAGTAATAGAGTCTTCAAGTTTGGAGGAATCTTGGAGATTGGTTACTTGGTTGTTTTCTAGATGAGGACATCGTGGCTCTGAGAGGTTAGTAATCCAGGGTCTTATACCATTTAATAACAGATATGTAAGGGAAGTCCAGGTCTCTTTCACTGCCCCTCTCAAAGATAGCAGATTTATATCTTTTTCATTTCTGAAGGGCTAACTTTATAATTTGGAGTGGTCTTGCATGTGCAGGGGCATGTATGTGTTCAAATAACCGGAAATGGATAAATTGTAGTATCTTCAGAGAAGTTAGAGCTTCTGTGCCATTCACTGAGTCTAGGTGTTGATTTGAAACCATTTCTATGTCTAGAATCCTTTTCAATATGCCCACCAGCCTTTAGTTTGTAAGACTCCAGCTGACCTGAGCCCCTGAGGCTCTTCCCTGAGTTCCTGGAGTCGTTCTGTCACTTGAGGGGATAAGAGTGAATCTCTGTCCCCTGATTCCCAGCTGCCTTGCTGGCCTCCCTTTCAGATGCCAAGCACGCGACTCAGGGGATGCCTGGGGGCATTTGTGGAGCCCTGGGAAGCCTCCTGGACATCACAGAGCACTTGGGGCTCCTCCTCCTCTTGCCCTTGAGCTTCTTTCTGTGGAACTGTTATTGGGGCATCCTTGTCACTGGGCACTCAGCCACCTCTCCCTGTGGTTGCCATATTTGCCTGGTTGCAGGTAACAGCCCCACAGGCTCAGATCCCACCAGCTCTGAAATGGAGCAGCTGCAAGAACTCAGAGCCCTTGACCACAACAGTGGATGTCCTTTAAAGAAAAAAGGCGCTGGGGACCTCTCTTCAAATGCCATCTGACAAGAACCCAAATGTATGAAACAGGGTACCGTGGAGCTGCCCTCCCTTGAGGAGGGTGGAGTGGGGGCCCCAGAACCTGCGGAATCTCCTTGGTCCTATTCTCACCCTCACCCCGCAGCAGCCCCAACGGCATGTCTGCAAACCCAGGGGCTTAAGAAACAATTGAAAACACTGCTAGAGCTATATTGCCTCTTTAAAGGTGAGCCTTGGAGCCCAAGTGGTACCCTGAATTGCATAGCGAGGTTCTTTTCTTTGAGCAATACCTCTCTGAGCAACAGGGAGAAGGTAGTTTCAATGATTCCCCTCATTCTAATTCTACCAGGGTGTGCATGTGCTCACTTGTGTTACATGTACCCTCAACTGAGGGTTCACCTATTCCAGGCACAGTGCTGTATGTGCTTTTTCTCATTTAGTCTTTACAACACTTGAAGGAGGGCAGGTCACTTGCTCGAGGTCACACATCTAGTGAGTGGTGAGAATTCATCAAACCCAGGTCTGTTTTACTCTCTCCTTGCCGTCCGATTGCCACTAAAATGGAGATCTGCCTGTTCAGGCCATGCCAGCTCCACTAATTTGCAAAGATTTAACTTGGTACCCAGCGCCATATTCCTCAGGAAGCAATTTCCAGAATAAAGATGTGAAACAGAGCCAGCCAGCATCAGCGGTGCCAGATACAGAGAGGGCCTCTTGAGCCAGCCAGCCTGTCTTACCTGGGTTTGGTATTTAGGCTAATTATTATAAATAATAATAATTTAGCACTAATGAGCCCTGTAACTCAAGACTAAAGCTTAACTAATACCATAACTAGAGACCAGATCATCCAAAAATGTTGGGCTTCTCCTCCCAAAGTTTAATGTTGTGTGATTTTTGCCGTTCTTAAACATAGTTAATTCTTAGATTTGACTTCATAAATCATCATTTCCTACTGAGGGGTTAGGCAAGGGTGAAAGGAAAGACAGTGAATTTTTCACTTAAACTAGAAATGCTTTAATCTTTTTGGACTCAAGTTTCCCCAGGCCTGTTTTTTAAATCTAAAGTCTGACTTTCTTGAGTATTATTTTACATTCTTATTAATTCTTTGGATGATGGAATGGAGTGTATCTCATTAAATTTTCCTGTGTCTTCATATGTGATTGATGACAATGACTAAGAGAACCAGATTAAGACTCATAGTGATTTAGTGATGTTATGTTAGATGGGTATAACCTGGAGATAGTTTAGTACCGATAAGCATGGAGGTAGAAAACCTGAACCATTTCAAAAAGGGAAGCCTGCAGTCATGTCCAGCACTGTGTTGCATGAGTCTGACACCACATGGATTTGGTATCTGAGAGCCATGAGTAACGGAGACTTAGTAAGAGTCAAGCTTTCACTCGTGTTGGCCATCCGATTTAGAAACCTGTGATTGAAGCCTGACGACATCCAAAAAAGAACTACAAAAATGATTAAAAGTTTGGAAGGCAGGTTCTATAAAGAAATGACTTTACAGCTCCTAGACTTCTTTACCGAGTTGAGATACAACTTAATTACAGCATCTGAGTATATGATTGACATTTATTTGTTTGTTTATTCAAGCTACTATTTGTTAGCTACCATGGGAGCATAAAGAAGATGCATTCCGGCACTGAGATTCTCTATTTCAGGCTAGAATGGAGTGAAGGGGGAAAAGCAAAAGGCCCAAGTCGGAGTCAAACTGTACTTGGGCATTGATGAATTCTTGGTTATTTAGGGTTATAAGAAGTTAGGTGTATGTTAGTTGAGGGAATATGGGGTTTCTTGCTCTGAGATTAAATAAGAGAGTAGAATCGTATATTTATGGGGATGAGTTGAGCATGGCAGAGCTTTCTGATGCAAAGGCAGAGACATCCTTTCTAGTCTTGAGATTTTGAGGTGCCTTCTTTACCATAGGAAGAAACAATGGTAAAGACTCTGGGAATTCCGATTGGATTATTTGCAAATCTGTCAGCCATTCACTGAATTGTTCAAAAATGTTTCATATGGAAATACAATTTTCCCCTCCCTGCCCCCAAAATCCCACTGGAATTTTTATTGGGATTGCAATGATTCTATTGTTCAATGCCTGGAGGATTGACAACTTTACAACGTCAAACCTCCAATCCATGACCTTGGTACAGCTCTCTATGGTTTTAAGTGTTTAATTTTTCTCAACAGAGTATTATAATTTTCACTGTAGAGATCTTGTACATCTTTCCTTAGATTGATCCCTAGGTGTTTGGGGTTGTTTGATGCTGTTGCAAATGGCATCATCTGAGCCCCTTGAATGGACACCTAATAACACCTGTCCGTTTCTGACACTTCTGCTCTCCATGGGCATGAGAAGCCAAGTCATAATCAGCTCTTCCTTTTCCAGATAGTCAATGCACCTTGTCTAACTCATCAAAGTAGAAAAGGTGTAGTAGTTTCAATTGCAGGAAACCCATTTTAGAATCTAAACATTGAGGCCAAGAAATTAGTCTTTTGGTCTAACCTAAATGCCTCCAGTTGGCCCTCCAGCTTATTTTCCTTTTGTTTGGTTCAAAGTTAGTCTTCTACAAAGCTTTCATATCCAGCAGTCTGCTACTTGAATCATCATGCAAGTATTTCTACCCTGCATGTAAAAATATGTATAAATTTTAATAAGAGGGAATTTGCTCATGATACAATGTTAAACTTAAAAATACAATAAAAATCTAATTTTATTTTTGAAGTATGTGTTTAGATACAAAGGTCAAAAGAAAATGCCTAACAGTGGTTATTTCTGGATGACTTATTTATGGATGTTTTTTAGACATGTCTGCATTTTCAAATTTTTTACGATAAACATGGGTTATTTTTGTACTAAGCCAAAGAATAAGCATTTTTAAATGGCAAAAAGAAAATTAAAACTACATATTAAAATGACTGGCTTGAGTTTCACTTTCTCCTTCATCGTGTAAAGTGTGGTAAAATTTGCTAGTGAAATTAAAACGAGTATGTGACATATCTTGAGATAAACAAGAAAGAGAAACTTCTTTGTCGGGTGTGTGAATTTTCTGCCCGTCCTGGCCAGCTATGAGTTCCCCTCAGTGCTGAGAATTCGCTCCTCCCACTTGGGATTCTGCAACACCTGTTTTATTTCACACTCCCTCAGTTCCTGGGGTAAATCCTATATCCACGGTGTGGGCTCCAGTTAAACTCCTTAGTGGTCCAGATGTGCATCACCCCGCAGCTGGCCTAGTAACCCCACTGTTTATTGACAGGTTCTCAGGAATCAGATAGCTCTCAGTCTGCCAAGAAAGACATGCTGGCCGCCTTGAAATCCAGGCAGGAAGCTCTGGAGGAAACCCTACGCCAGCGGCTGGAGGAGCTGAAGAAACTCTGCCTCCGGGAAGCTGTAAGCAGTTACTCTTTCGCGCTGTGGAAATCTGTGTTGTCTGTGCCCACATCCATCTTCACATGTTTACAAAAGGCAAGGGTGCGGATCATGAAGAGAGCACACGAGGGAAGCAAAACCTGCTCTGAAATACAGATGTTGGAAACACCCAGCCCTGTAATGAAGCAGAAGTGGTGGGTCTTATTGAAACACTAGGACACCAGTTAAAGCAGATCCTGGCAGAATCCCAAATGGAACTCCACTAGAGGCCAAATGACAAGTAATAGTAACAGTCATCATAACAATTGTAAATAATAATATTTGCAAGGTGCACCATAGTTTATAAAGCATTTCCTCATATGATATTACCTCATTGGATATAATGGTTTACCACCATCTTCCTAAGATGCTGTGCGTGAGTTTATTATTGTGGTGGCTGTTGTTTCTCTTGAGGATATTTCAGATTTATCTTTGGAAATCGTATTGAGAAGCATCCTTGGCGATCAACAGGGAAACCAGGATTTCCCTTGGTATATAATCCCCTTTAAAACTCATGATCCAGTGTTTCTTTAACTTGATCTTTTTCTTTAAATGAAATCTTAGCCTAGTGATATTTTTAAATTTTATGCAAAGCGATGCTTCCTCAAGCCTGTGTGTACACTTGTCTCCAGTTTCACTGGAATTTGGAGGCTGTGGCAGGCCACTGTCTGTGTTTCTTTGAACATCCATTTGCACCTTTTTCTGTTTGACTCTTTGTTAGCATGAAGACTTGATTTTTTTAGTGCAACACACATTACTGTGCATATATGTGTATACACACGTGTGTGTGTGCTCGCACAAGGACGCAATGGGGTGGGAGTGTTCCAGAGAGAGTGCGCTCGACTTAGCATGTAACATTACTGTTGGTGAGCAGTTCAGAATGAGAGAATAAAGTGGTTCCCAAACTAAGTTGAAGAGACGGGCTCCCCTCCCCCAAATAATAATGCCTGGCCGCAGGCGCCAGAGAGTGAGATCATATTACATTTCAACTGGGCTTAATTATGCTCTGGGTTGATTTAAACCGGAGCCAGCTCAAAGCAGACCCACATTAGCACAAATCCATGGCAAATCTTAGGAAAGCAATTGGCCTGGCTGGGGAATGTGCTCTGTGATGCTGTGAATATTAGCAGCCTTTTTATAAAGAATGTGCTGGAAGGATTGAAAAAAAATTAGGTTTGGGTGTCAGCACCTAATAATTGGTAAAGGCTTGTTTTGTTTTTAAATAGAGGAAACGTCCCTAAATCCAGCAGGGCATCAGCATCAGAAAATTGGAGAAGTATGTCAAGGCAAGGTTTGCATGCATTATAAAGGTCTCACTGTTTCCCTTAAAATAAAAGAAAAATGAGAGAAGTTAAGCTCCTGCTTCTTAGAATGTTGACACCAGAAAACAGCACTTGAGCAGAGGAATAACCTCATGAGAACCCGGCCCAGGGCACAGGGCTTCTGTGCTGGCTCCCACCGTATGAGTCTCTTGACCCATCTGTAGTAAAGGGACAGAACTTTCTTGCTAACTGTGCTCTGCTCTCTGTATCACACTGCTCCCCTCAGCTCAGAATATCAGCAGCCCTGTTTGTCCCCCGGGGAGCAGGGCAGCCAGAAAGAGGTGGAGTGGGAGCATTTGGCAGAATATCACCCATATAAGAGGAACCAGGCTGAGTCCCTCACCACACTGCGTTTAATTCCCCCTTCCCCATGCGGCTCTGGTTACACATGAAATCAGATTAAATATGGAGAATCAAGGTCTTGACTCAAATGCCTTCAAGTGGATGGTGGAAAATCAGTACTTCACTTTTTAAATATATTTTGTTTTAAAACTATCGATACTTGAGAGTTATAAATCACTGGCCATTTTAACAACTTTTCTCTCCTTTTTGTAAGTTTCAAGGTGAAAAAAAAAGAAAGTCCTAATAGAAAATCCTCAGTATGCTGCGTTATTTATAGGCAGACTTTTAGGGAAGCAGATAAAAATGTTGCAGAATAAACACAGAACTGCTTCGCAGACATTTGAACCACACTGAAAAAGAAAAAAAGAGGGAAGAAAATTGCAGAACATTTCAGACTCAAAGAGTTGGCCATTGTGCTCTGAAATGCTTACATTGAGGAATGAAAAGTCCAAGAGTTTGTTTCCCAGTGGACTGAGCACAGAAGGAAAGAGGCCCAGGAAAGTGGGGAGTGGGTGTCCTTGTGCAGACCAGTTGCGCACACCATTGCACCCACCTCCCGGTGCACACACATACACACTCCAGTCACTCACACACACCCCAGTGTGCACGCACACCCAGCAGTGGGAGGAGAGGCCGGATCACTCCTCCTGTCAGAAGGTCAGCCAGCGTCTGGAATCTGGCGATTTGGACTTTCCCGCCTGTTGGACACTTGCGCTGGGTGCCCCTGGCACAAAAGCTTTTTGTGAGGATGGTGGACGGCTGCGCTCTTCCTCCTCTGTGCAGCCCCATGAGTCTGCAGCATCAGTGTTGACTTGGGACTAGAAACCAGTGCAGGCTCTGCCTGGAAGTGCCCCCTGTGCCATTGGAGGCACACAGTGGCTCCCCCAGGTTTTTCTGGTCCCTGGAAGTGACTCCTTGCAGCCGGTACCTTGGCTCCACCACATGGATTGGCTGCTGACTCAAATTTGATCTTTATTCAGCCCAGACATAACTCCCTATTATAGAACCGAATTCTAATCCTGAATCATTCCAGACCTCAGTGTTTGCCAGGGTCCTTGTTGGTATGGAAGTGTCTCAACTAAACTCACTGTCATCATACTCACAACAGTTAGATTTGCAGAGCCCAACATACGCAGCAGATCTTTTCAGATAGCCTTGTCAATAACACGGATTATATTTCCAGTTTCTACTGAAACTATATGTACACATTTGTCTTTTAAGCTCAGCCTGTTCTTTGAGCATCTAGCCTGAGTGGAATAGTTGTTACTCATTTTTAGTTTCTAATTTATGTAGTAAGCACTTTTCTGGGATTTGCCACATAGCTATCCCTTTTCCCAAGAAAATTCACTTGAAAGACATTGTGAACTTAGATATTTGCAAGGGAGTATCTGATGCAGGGAAAGAGCACAGGGTGTGGAGCTAGAAAGACTGAGATCTCGTGTTGGCTCTGCTCCTTCCCAGCTGTGCGACCTCTCCTGGAACATAGTAGGCATGCAGGGGCACAAGGGAAATGAACAACTGAATGAAATTCAGATTTTGTGATGAAAGCCAATGGTGATTTTATTTACCCAACAGAAATTTACTTTGGGAAAAACTGAAGTGCATCTGTCTGTTAAAGAAAAGGATGGCTCTTCATACGTTTTTAGAGAAATGAAATGGCATTTCAGGAACTCTTATTTAGGCATACTGCTTAACATTACTCTTTTGAAATCTGTGCACTGAAAGTGTGTGTGTGTGTGTCCTAGAAACCAAGCACATACCCTCCTCTGATTCTGTCCTCTCCCATGCTGTTGTACACACACAGGAGCTGACGGGTAAACTGCCTGTGGAATACCCCCTGGATCCAGGGGAGGAACCACCCATTGTTCGAAGAAGAATCGGGACGGCCTTCAAGCTGGATGAGCAGAAAGTCCTGCCCAAAGGAGAGGTGTGACCTTCTTCCTGCTGTTGGATTTTCTCCCATAACCCTCATTTCCCCTATATGTTAGGGCGTCAGGTTTCCTATATCAATTTCTTCCTCCTACCCAATGCCCAGTGCCATTTCCCCTTCCGCCTGAGTATCTGTCCTTTGACCTTTGGTGAAGTTGAAGTTGGCTTGGTCAGGATGTAGCTCCCTTGCTGGGATTTGCTAGCTTGCGTTAGTAGCAAGTTGATTTCTGTGCAAGTTGTTTGTCTAACACCATAGGCTTGGTTCGCAAGTGGCTAAGTGAAGCTTGAGAGAACGTTCCAGTAAAACCATGTGTACTTACTTGTCTTTTTAATGGCCTCCCAGCCCTTTGTTACTCAGAGCCAAGCGTAGTGTCTGATCTATGGAAGAAAAAACCAAAGAAGAAAGAAAACTTAGGCCATGTCAACAGATGCAGAGATGCCATTGGCTGGGGGAAGATAGTAGAGCCTGCCCTCAGTGGCCTCACCTTAACCTTGCTGATAGAATTGCTGCCAGAGCGTGAGCAGGATGCTGGGCCCTCATGGCCTTGCTTGTTGGCCTTTGGAGGAGCCGCTGAAGCATCGCTCATTTTTCCTCTTTGACTAAACACTGGTCGGGGCTGGAACTAGAGAGTTCATACCTGTGGGGAGAAAGCTTGAGTCTCCAGCTGGTTAATAAGTTATCCAGGGAAATTCAAGGCCAGGTGTACCTTCAGGCCCTAGGGTCATGTCCAGGTAGTGTCTTCCCAAACTTATTCTGAATAAAGTTACTCACTGAAAGGCTACGAGCACTTAAAAGGGCAGGAGTCAAAGCCAGTGGAGAAGGGAATACTGGACATATTTAGTCTTTTCCAAAAAGTGATTGGTCGAAACCAACGTTCTCATGTAACACCTGGTGGGTTAGCGTGAGGGTGAATTCAGAGGGGACCACAGTGCCCTGGAGCCAGTGGAAGTGGTGGGTGAATCTCCTGGGATCCCAGGGGACTGGTGGACACACCAGAATGTTCCATCCAGATCTAAAGTTGGCAATTCTAATCCAGGCAATTGTCCTCTTCCATAAAATGAAATGCATAATCCTTATTTCTTTGGGTTGTCGCTAGGATTAAATGAGCTGGCATGTGAAAACGTTTAACTCAGTTCTTGTCACCTGCTTGACACTCAATAAACATGAGTTGCTTGACATGGAGATGAGATATTCGAGGAGAAGAACTGTGGCTGTGGGTGCCCAGGATTCTACTGGGGTCAGAACTGGGCTGAGGGCAGGTGCCATTTAAGAGACCACCTGGTTGGGTATTTTGCAAATCCGGCTGTCATCAGAATTGCCTAAGGAACTTCCACTCCCCTTATGCTGGGCAAACACCTGGCACCATCCTTTTAAGAGGAGCCCCCATTTTTCGTGAGCCCTACGCCCCATTCTTCTCACAGCCTCACCATACCTTCTCACCAGCCGATCCTTCACACTCTTCAGTGAAGGATGATTTCAGTTTCCCAAGAATTCCATGTGCATCCTCACCTGCATATTACCACTCGTAAATTACTGAAAGGGAGCCCCACAGAATTAGCTGGTGCATGCAAGTTCCTCCAGGAAGGACAGGCTCCCCTGGGCTCTGTCGCTGCTCCCCGGTTCTCCTGGACGTACACTTGGCTTCCCTGTGCACACAGCAGGCAGCATCTGTACCGCAGACAGGGCCACCAGCCTTGTACTTGTCTTGGTTCCAGTAGCGAGAATTTGTCCTGGGCTCCTATACAACTTTGGGTCGGTGTCTTGGGCCAGGGCTATCGCAACAGCCTGGGAACAGCTGCTAGGTGGAGTCACGCTCACAGAATAGTCTTTGTCTTTGGTGACTTGTTTGTTTCAAGACCTTGGGCGGGAGTCCATCTTGATATTCGTCTCCTTCCCGGAGAACAAAAGCATCGGGCATTTGAAGGAACTGGAAGGAGTTGATTGTCTCCCAAAGAGTTCCCTTTCATCTTCACCTTTCGCTCTCACACCTGGTGCCCCCCTCCCTTCAGCCCTAAAGTGCTCAAAAGGAAAATAAAATCAAGCTAAGAGTTTTGTGCTTGCCGAGGCATCCAGCCTGGGAATGTTTTTATTCGGCCCATTAACTAGGAAGATCCCCGGATACCGCCAAACTTGGTGATCTGCTCCTACGTGGTTAGATCGGGTTCCTGTCAGACTTTGGCGTGAGTGGATCACCTAGGACAAGATGAGGGCCTGGTCTCCCTTGGCCTCACGGTCAGTATTCAAAAAACTCTGAGTTGCAAAGAGGCCAGCAGAAAATCCACTGTCCCCAGTTTCATCCTCTGGGTCCCCAGGTATTTCCTGGCAGTCACAGCTTCATTTCTCCCGGGACCAAAACTCTGAGGAAAAACTCATCCATTTGCTCCTTCTGGCCAAAGTAAGGGGTCGAGGTGGGAGGGAGGTACACGAGGAGAGGCGGGAGCATGCCCTGAAGCAATGCAAGGAGTAGGGGAAACTGGTCCACCACCATCTGCCACCCAGGCCTCCTGAGGGTCCCACTCATGGCCCAGGCAGAGCTTTTAGGAAGAGCCAGAGAGGACAGCTGGAGCTTGCAAGAAGCGCTCCCCAAAGAGACAGGAGTGAGTGAGGATGAGTCCCAACATGAAGGGCTCAAAATATGGGAGACAGGGCACGAGTGGGAGGGTGGAAGAGAGGCACGTCTGTGCACTCCCTATTAGCCAACACGTAGAAAAGCACGACAGAAAGCTGCTCCAAAAGTAAATAACACTGCATCCTACACCCCAGATAAGTGGGCTCTGAATTTCCACCAAGGCTTGGCCTTCATGAACCTTGCTGGAGATCCTGGAATCAAAACCAAAAGACCCCCAAGGCCTGGAGCACGGGAGCTCTTTGCTTCTCGATGGTGGTGCCAGTGTATGGACCAACGCTTGTCTCTAGAATGGAACAGGGGCCAAGAGGCTGGAAAGGGGGTGTGCCCAGGGCACCAGGCTGCCGGGCTGTAGGAACAGGGCCACTGCGGCGTCAGGCAAGGTTGGGAGTTAGGTGCTGGGAATGCTGGTTTCCTAGCACGCAGGTCTCCCAAGGAGTAAGGTGGTCTCGCTCGCCTTGGGGCAGGGACGGGCTGGGAGGAATAGTGTCTCCCTGCCCAGCACCCCCTTAAGTCTAAGCTGTGCTCTCCCTCCCACAGGAAGCCGAGCTGGAACGCCTGGAACGGGAGTTTGCCATTCAGTCCCAGATAACGGAGGCTGCCCGCCGCCTAGCCAGTGACCCCAATGTCAGCAAAAAACTGAAGAAACAAAGGAAAACCTCTTATCTGAACGCACTGAAGAAGCTGCAGGAGATTGAAAATGCAATCAACGAGAACCGGGTCAAGTCTGGGAAGAAGCCCACCCAGAGGGCTTCGCTGATCATTGACGGTCAGTGCTGGGCCCTCTCCCCACTGCAGGCGGCCCCACTCCCCCAGGAGCCTGGCTCCCTGCATGACCTAGGCAAGCTAGTTAACCACTTGTACCTCACTTTTTCCATCCATAAGATGAAGCTAATAAAGCGCTGATACCAATGAGAGCAATAAAGTGCACTCAGGTCCACAGATGAGAGGGTTTATGGAAATTGAACTATCCTCATCACTTATTTATTGCCTCCCTGGGAGAACCTGCAGCCATGGGCCAAACACTACCCTCAGCCCTCACCATGCACTGAGCCGAGTAACTGTGCCAGCCCGGGGCTCACCTGGGCTCTTCCATTCTCACGGACCTGACCAGCCTCCCTAGGTCTGGAAGGAAAGGGGGGTGGCTGGGGCACACTACAGGCCAGCACCCCTTGCCAGCCCCCTGTCCTTCTCAGTCTGACTCTGTCCCCTGGGGCTCCCATCCCAAAGCTGGAGCTGGGCACGGCTGGGCTGCCCCACTCTGACTGTCAGAGCCCTGAACTCCAGTCGGGAGGGGTTAAGAGTTTGGGTGATTATATTTGGTAAACACTAGAAGGAAATACCCCAAATCCACCAACAACCATCAAGTCCCCCGAACTGTTACAATCCTTTTTTTCCCCTAAATCAGAAAATTCTTTAAAATACGTATCAAGTATTCTTTCATGGCTTATGCATGTTTAAAATATTTTTGCTCTAGGAAAACAGAAAGTAGAATAGAGGTTACCAGGGGCTGGGGAGGGGAGACTGAGACTTATTGCTTCACGGGGACAGAGTTTCTGTTTTGGAAGATGAGAAAGTTCTGGACGTGGGTGTGGTGGTTGCACAACAATGCGAATGTGCTTAATGCCACTGCACTGTACAGTTAAAAATGGTTAAAATAGTAAATGTTCTGTTATGTATCTTTTACCATAATTTTGTTTATATATGTCTATATACACATATATGTGTGTGTGTCTATCTATCTATCTATCTATCTATCTATATATATATATATAAATCTACAGCCTAAAAAATATAGGCATACTGGGGAAGCAATGATATACTGGAGACTGCAAGATGCCAAAGTCAAGGCTCTCTGTCTCCTAGTTGTTTACAGTCCATCAAGTAATACGAATAAAGTGAATTCCTAGTTTAAAAAAGAAGGCACCATAAAAAAAAATCCTCAGGGCCAGCCCTGGTGGCCTAGTGGTTAAGTTTAGCGCACTGTGCTTCAGCGGCCTGGGTTTGGATCCTGGGTGTGGACCTATACCAGTTGTCAGCAGCCGTGTTGTGGCAGCAACCCACGTACAAATTAGAGAAAGACTGGCACAAGTGTTAGCTCAGGGCGAATCTTCTTCAGCACCAGAAAAAAAAATCCTTTTGCTCTGGGAAATCTGGAATATCCATCTTTCCCCATCTGGCCCTGTTGTCCTTGGCCAAGTCTTTGTCAGTTTTTCCCCCACTTCCTGACAGAGATGTGGGCACCAGCCCTTCTCTGTCTGATGCTCTTTTGAGACCTCTGTCTGCCCTTCAAAGGCACTGGGGATCCCAGCTCTGCAGAAACATCCAGAATGGCCAACAGAGCCGAGTCTGGGAGGGGCACCATAGGGATAATGTCTTGCTGGTCCACCACAGAAGAGCAGGTTTTCCAGCCTGCCCAGTGAGGGCTATTCTGTTAGTATTACCAACAGATGCCATTTTTCAGTCACTGTACCAACTGGTTTGTCATCCCATCCAAGCCTGCAGCCATTGTTTTGTAGCCACTCAAGAACAGACCTTCTCTATTTTGCTGCCTCGTGGAAATAATATTCTCCTCACACGAGCCCCACTTAAATTAGAGGCGTGAGGAATTTAGGTCTTCTTAGTTCCTTAGTGTGGTTTTCTTTTTCAAGAGATAAAAAACACAAAACTTAGAATCTGAAGACCTGGGACCTTTTGCCAGGAGAGCAGAGCAATCCCAGACATACCATTCCTCCCTAGCCACGCCTCAGTTTCCCCAGCTGTTACAGATGGGAGATTGTCTACTGTCTCCCTCTGGGGAGTGTTCTCGTGGTGAATTGAATGGTGTCTATGAAAATAAGCTTTGGAGACACAGAAGCTGTGTTTAGCAGCTTAAACAAGCTTCTCTCTACTAATGACTTAAGAAGTTTATTGAGAAGCCATTTATTGCTGTATGAGCAAAGCTAAGCTCCTTACCCTAGTTTCGCATTTGTGGGATAAATAGCAGTTCGCTTCCTTTGGTTTAGTCGGGACATGCCCTGAGGTTGGACTGGAACAATGATGTGGCTTAACCAGGCCAGGCAGCCTTTATGTTGGATATCCAGCTACTCAGCATTGCAGTGTCCTGTGAAACAAGAGCACAAATACACAAAGGCAGGGCCACATTGCAGTGTCGGGGTGAGGGGCATGAGGTAATGACCCACCACAGGGACAGTCAAAAGAAATGCCCAACAGCATTTTCATTGTATTTCATGGGTTCTTTCTGATTAGAAAGAGAAGGATATGGGATGGTGCTAAACATGCAATTTTCACAAGTAGCATTTTGGCCAAGGGATGTGCTAAACTCACAGACTTTCCCTTTTTGTCTTCTCAGATGGAAATATTGCCAGTGAAGACAGTTCCCTCTCAGATGCCCTTGTTCTAGAGGATGGTAGGTTTTCCGTGTCTTGCTTGAGAACTCGGAGCACAGATTAAACTGGGATTAAGCTGTGTGTAGTCTGGGACAGCCCAGTGGGAAGGCAAGAGCCAGTCCAAGATGGCAGCCGGATTCCTCACAAATCTCTCATTTCCCAGTGTCTCCTATTTGGTTGGGAGTGGGTGGGTGCTACATAGCCATGTCTTTTGGAATTTTAGTATTTCCTGTGGCCCAGAGGTCAGATTTAAGGTGATATTCAGTGAGTAATGCTTCACCTTTTTTTAGTTTGCCAAAATCCATGTTTTTAACTAAACAGGAGAATCTGAACACCAATGCGTAGTTTCCTTTTGAGTATTTCATAATTTCTGGAAGAAAAGAAGGTGGACATTGATTTTGGATCCCCAAATCAAAGATTTGAAACCTACTGAGAGAGCCTGGGAGCTTCAGGGACACAAGAAAACTCTCTATACCTTCCTGAGAAATAGTGAAAATGAAGAGGCAGATGTCCCTTTGGATGCCTGGTCACGCCTTGAAAATCATCTTATTATTTCCCAGGGAACTCTAAAAACCTCATGATTATCAGGATATTTTCTTGGGAAATTCTTAGAAAAACACAACTGATCCCCCACACTCACCCCCTAGCCCACCATCACACATTGGGAACGAAAGGATTCCAGACACGCAACCATCTCCGAGAAAGTTCCTGTGGCTGGTTAAACCAAAACTTGGGAGGCCGGGGTGTTAATGATATGGAAATATATTAAGTGGCAGTTAATTTTTTGCTCTTAGGGAACCCTCAGGCGGGTAGTGATAAGTGGCTATTCAGACAGAAAACATTAAAGGTCTACCCAAGTCATAGCCATAATGATAATTGCAAGAATAATAGTAATTGCTATTGATGTGGGGAAAGGCTGGCGGGTTATTCACCCAGTTGTCTTGGCCCCGCTATGAGCAATCAGATGGTAGTATTTTTATCGTCAGCTTCGTTACATGGTGGGGAGGAGATGGGGCCACCGGGGAGCAGGAAGCTGTGTTTCGAATATTAGAGATCCAGCCCTGGTTTGGGCCTCTGTGGACTCCAGTCTCTCCAGGGGAGGCAACGAGAACGAGTCAGTGAGATTCCTCTGTAATAGAGGAGTTAGGGAGGTTTATGTAGTTGTTAGCGAATTTTGATGCATCATTTGTGAGAACAGTTTCCTTCCCATGTTTCAGACCTGCAGCCTCTGCAGGGGCGTTAGGGCCTCACTGGGACCTCCCCCAACAACTCCCATCGCAGGCTCCCTCCTTCTGGGAACTCTTTCCTTTGCTGATTTGAGTACTAAAAGAGGAGTGGAAGCCTAGTGTGTGTCCAGGGTTCAAGGATGGGAGTTTGAGAAGTAGGCTTGGAAGACAATACTAGATGGAGATGGAAAGGTCATGGGGCTTCTGAGGTTTGCTTCTGTGTATTTTTCCCCTCCAACTCCCACCTCTACCTCTCTGCCTTCATGAGGAACACTGCATTTTTCCTGCCTCTGTCTGCTCAAGGCCGCCCTCCCCCAGGTTCTCAACACTGGATGTCTTCCTTCCTTAACCCCTCCCCAGCCCCTCTCCCAGCCTTGCCCACTTTTGACCCCTGCCAGATGACTGGTTCTTAAACAGGATTTCCATCCTGACACATCCATAATTAAGTTGCAGAGTTTTCCTGTGGCTTTCAGACCGAATCCTGACTCCTTAGCCTGGAACTGAAAGCCCCCTGTCAGCTGGGGCTCTTGCTTGTCCCAGTGCACACAGTAGGTCTGCACTCCCTCTCCCCCTCTGCTCTGCCCCCCCAGGCGCAGCCCCAGTTGGATGCAGCCCTGGGCTCTTCCTTTTGTCCGCCCCTCTGCCATCCACGCTGATTCCCCTCCCACCAGCCTCGCCTACTCTTCCCTCTTTGACTGACGGACTTCACTTCCTCTGAAAGTCCCCCGGCACCCTGAGGTGTTCGATCATCACTCCCCCGAAGGCAGGCACTAGTCTTCTTTCATATCTACTGTTTGTAGCTTGTCTCCTTCCCAGAGACCCTAAGGCAGTTGCAGAATGCAAATGTCACACAGGAACACGTTACAAGCCAATATAGACAGTCTGAAAACGCAGAGACGGTAGATCGCTAGAGCCACCGGCAGGTAATTACACTCGACAGATAAACGTTCATTCATTTTTTCCAAAAATATCTCTTGAGCACCTACTATGTGTCAACAGTCATTCTAGGCCCTGAAGATGTAGCCGTGAACAAAACAGACAAAACCTCCTGGAGCTGAAACTCCCCTGAAGCAAATTAGACGCGGACCGTCTATTGAAGGAACACTGACAGTATAATAATGACTATATTTGGCTGTTGGGTGTGAAGCAATCGTTTGTCGTTGGTGTTTAATGAAATTCAGCCTTGACTCCATTTGTAGATAATCAAAAGGGAAACTGCTCTTCCCTTTTAGTGCTGCTCCAAGGTTGGGCTTGGTTCGGTCTGGTTCGACTTGTCTTGACAACTGGGGAAGAGTCATGGGGCACCTTCAAAGGGCGGATGCCTGTCTGGTCCCCAGAGGTTGATGTCAGGGCGGAGGTGGGCGGGGGTGTGTCTGGGGGCCGTGGGAAGGATGACCCTTGCTCAGTGCCTCTCTTTCCGTCTTTGTGCAGAAGACTCTCAGGTCACCAGCACACTGTCCCCCTTACAGTCCCCTCACAAGGGACTTCCTCCTCGGCCACCATCACACAACAGGCCCCCTCCTCCCCAGTCCCTGGAGGGACTCCGGCAGATGCACTATCACCGCAACGACTATGACAAGTCCCCCATAAAGCCCAAAATGTGGAGTGAGTCCTCCTTAGATGAGCCTTACGAGAAGGTCAAGAAACGTTCCTCCCACGGTCATTCCAGGTGAGCGGGGTCGGGGAGGTCACTGAAAGAATCAAAGGCTGCCCCAAATAGCATCCACCAGTGGCAAAACCCCAATCAGCCTATTTCCTCCTTCCTGGGGTGGTCTTTCAACAGCGCCGCGCGCACAGCGCCCTCTGCTGCTGACCCTGTTGAGGTGCAGATTTGTCATTCCAAGGGAAATTGGGTTTTTGGCTCACAGTCAGTGTGTTGGCAGATGGCTTTAATGTTGTTAAATTCCACGGGAATTAATTAGGAAATCTTAGGTAGCATTATTCCAGAATGGTAAGTCAGAGACCACTCGTAGGAATCCCAAAGTGGTTTCAAACCTTAAACCATCCTCCAGCAGAATTCTGGAGCCAAACAGCTGTAACCTTAGCTGGGCATTATCAGCTCGTTACTCGGCTGATGATGTAGAGAGGGTTTTTTGGAAGAGATTTTTGGTCTGCTTCTCTGTTTTTCTCATTTCCTTTCGTTACACCCCATAAAGCTGTAAGTGGGTGCCCAGACAGGTAAATATTTGTCTTTTGGAAAACAGACTCTGTGGTTGAGGGCAAGGCCTTCACAGAACACTCACGCTACCTGTTACAGAGAAGGTTGACGAGAGTCTTCATCTCACATGCCATGGGGGTCAGGGACGGGAAGCGCCACCGCACTCCTGGGGGAAAGGGTGAGAACCAAAGTAGAGATCTGAGGGAGCGATCCTGGGCAAGCTTTCCTGCCATCAAGATTGATGTCCCAAGGCTTAGTCAGCAACCGGAGAACAGGTGCGGTTCTGCCTGGCAGTGACCAGCATGGCCTCCTCTGGTTTGCAGTGGCCACAAGCGTTTCCCCAGCACGGGGAGCTGCGCCGAAGCAGGCGGGGGAAGCAGCTCCCTGCAGAACAGCCCCATCCGCAGCCTGCCTCACTGGAACTCGCAGTCCAGCATGCCGTCCACGCCAGACCTGCGGGTCCGGAGTCCCCACTACGTTCATTCCACGAGGTGAGTCCACTCCGCCCTTGGCCATCTTCCTCCCTAAACCAGACCTTCCTTTGTAAACTTTGGCAGTGCTGACTCCAACGTGGTCCCAGATAATGGGTGAGCTAGAGTCAGGCCTGAACCAGTGAGGTAGGTTCTTCTTAAAATGAGGCAGAATAGAAAACTGAGCTGGTAGCAGTAAGCCCGTGTTAGTCAAGAGACCCCTTCTATCCTACTGTCCATGCTCCATGGGCACTGGGAGTAAGCCAGAGATTCCTCTGGAGACAGAGGGCGTGGAAGGAGCTTTCCTAATCCAAATGCAGGCAGGAAAGGCCAGCCAGATTAGCCAGGAAGAGTGTTGGGACCAGAACGACCTTGTACTGCTGGGCTCATCTTTATTGGATAGTCCTCATATATCTTTCTACTGGGGCCTAAATTTATTCGGACTTTTTAATGCCTCAAGACGTAAATTCATTAAAGCGCAAAGGGAACAGGCAAAAGTGAGGCTCCCGTGAATCACACCTTAATTTTCTAACAAAAGGCAAAACCAAAGCCATCATTCCATTTTATCAAAAACTGAGCCCATAGGGACCGTGGCCCAAGAGACAGATGGTGTAATCTGCCATAAGTAGTGACCCATTTTATGTGGGATAAGGTTGAGCTCTCCAGGCAAGATTGCTTCCTTCCTTCCTTCATCCATGCATTCATTCATGCATTCTTCATTCATGCATTCATGCAACAAATATTATCAAGTGCCTATATGAACCAGGTGCTATTCTAGGGGGTAGAGCGGTGAAGGAAACGGACCACACCCCTGCTCTCCTCAGATTTTAGTTGGGAGAGAGTCACAGTGAAAAAATATGTCAAGCAATGATAAGCACTAAGAATAACAATGAACAGGACAAGGGGCTAGAGAGAGAAGGGAGAGATCATCTTTTCAATGGAGGCATCAGAGAAGGCCTCTCTAGTAAGGTGACACCTGAGGATACTCAGGGGACAGCAAGGTCAGAGCCCTGGATGCAGGCCTGCACTTGGCATATTCCCAGGAGGCCAGTATGGCCAGAACAGAGTGATGGAGAGGGTGGGACCAGAGAGGAAACTGAGAACCGAGTCACAGAGGGCCACATGGTAGGGACTTCACGTTCTATCTAGAAGGACAGTCAGAACTAGAATTCGCCTCTTCCTGGACTTGGCCAACCCGTTTACCTGTAGTCCTTGCATCTTGTCCCGGCCATATTGCTGGATAGTCATAGTGTGGACCTGCATAAGCAGAATGGATGACACACAGTAGTGGCCTGGTAAGTATTGCATCGGTCATTTTTTAGTGTTCCCTGTACCACCAACCTTCCAATTTAAGGTCTTCATGGGCAATGGAAATCTGTTTATGTGGATTTTATACTGGTATTTAGTTGAACCATATGAAGGGCTTCTGCTGGACTGTTTTGTGACCTACAAAAATGGGCATGTTATCTAGTTTAGCATAATACTAGAATAGGGTTTCTCTTGGTTGTTTTTCTATCTATAGAATCCTTTTCCACCTTAAAAAAAAAAGCCCCTGGTTACTGGCATACATTTTTCAGAGAAGAACCCTCCTGTGGGTTGTCTTCAGTCCCCCCTCCCACTCGGAATAAGGAAGTCACAGCGGAGGCCCGGCTCGCCTCCAGGGATCCCAACGGCCCCTCCTGCCCCGTCTGCACCTGGGAACAAAGGGGAGCATCTGGACGGCCAGGGCAACCCTGTCTAGGCTCTCAGTTTCCCAGGCGCGCATTTGCTGGAGGTTCCGGGCTGCGTGCGTTTTGCTCTTTCCCGACTGCGATGATTGCAGAGCCCCTCCCTCCTCCCGGACACCCCTCTCCTGGGCCCCCCAGACTCACCGAGCCATCTCCCCGCAGGTCAGTGGACCTCAGCCCCACGCGACTGCACAGCCTCGCCCTGCACTTTCGGCACCGGAGCTCCAGCCTGGAGTCCCAGGGCAAGCTCCTGGGCTCGGAGAACGACACGGGGAGCCCCGACTTCTACACCCCACGGACTCGTAGCAGCAACGGCTCCGACCCCATGGACGACTGTTCCTCCTGCACCAGCCACTCGAGCTCGGAGCACTACTACCCGGCGCAGATGAACGCCAACTACTCCACGCTGGCCGAGGACTCGCCGTCGAAGGCGCGCGCGCGGCAGCGGCAGCGACAGCGCGCGGCGGGCGCGCTGGGCGCGGCGAACTCGGGCAGCATGCCCAACCTGGCGGCGCGCGGCGGCGGCGCGCACGGCGTCTACCTGCACAGCCAGAGCCAGCCGAGCTCGCAGTACCGCATCAAGGAGTACCCGCTGTACATCGAGGGCAGCGCCACGCCCGTGGTGGTGCGCAGCCTGGAGAGCGACCAGGAGGGCCACTACAGCGTCAAGGCGCAGTTCAAGACCTCCAACTCGTACACGGCGGGCGGCCTGTTCAGGGAGAGCTGGCGTGGCGGCGACGAGGGCGACGCAGGCCGCCTGACGCCGTCGCGCTCGCAGATCCTGCGGACTCCATCGCTGGGCCGCGAGGGCGCCCACGACAAGGGCGCGGGGCGCGCGGCCGTCTCGGACGAGCTGCGCCAGTGGTATCAGCGCTCCACAGCCTCCCACAAGGAGCGCAGCCGCCTGTCGCACACCAGCTCCACCTCCTCGGACAGCGGCTCCCAGTACAGCACCTCCTCCCAGAGCACCTTCGTGGCGCACAGCAGGGTCACCAGGATGCCCCAGATGTGCAAGGCCACGTCAGGTGAGAGTGGGGACGGGGGAGCAGCCCTGCGCGCACATGGTCCAGCCTGAGTGTGAACTGTTGACCGATTTCAAGGGCTTCCAGATTTTCTTAGAGCTTGCAGTGACAAAGAGAACGTTAATTCTAGAAAGCTAGCTGCCAGATGTGTGAGACTTGACGTCTTCCGACCCTCCTCCTTCACCCCCTCCCATTCTAGCCCTGATTTTGCTGAGTGACTTAAGATCAGGGGGCAGGGCTGCACTTCCGTGTGGGCTGGGCCATTACAGCTTCCTTAGTAGGGGTGCAAACCATCCCTCCAGCCACCTCTCCTTCTAAGGATAGATGTCAAAGGCATTATGTGAAGTCATGTCTCAGCGTTTGTCCAGTCAAAGGTGCACCTTCCCCTGGCGGACAGTGAGATGCTATTACATTAGACTCCTGAGTGGCACCCTTGCAGAGGAAAGCTTGCTTTGGGCACGGACTTGGGTCATGCAGCCCTGAGATCTGGCCAGCGTCTCCCCAGGTGGAGGCAGGCTGGCTACGAAGGGAGTGGCCGAGCTCAGCGTTTGACCTCACCTGTGACTGGGAACTCCTGACTGCTCCTTGCATTCCCATTTCAATGATATTGGGATGCAACCAAAGTAATCTTCATAAAGTGCTTTCAATACGTTGATATTACATCTTAAAATTTTCATAATTAAGGGGTGCCTTGTAGTCTTGTACTCAGAGCACTGAGCAGTGCTGAATCAGTACAAAATGGAAGAAACCGTCCTTTCCCTTAAGACGTTACATTCCCTTCCCACTCCCTCTCCAAGGAATAATGAGGGTGATGCTATCCCAGCGATTGTTCAGCAGTCACTAGCGTATATGAACTTCCTGGACACACTCGTAGCATCATTAAAGAGAGTGGAGACTCGTGCAGGGATAAGACACTCTGTAGCCCATTGACTGTAAGAAAAGAAAGTGGGGGAGGATTTCGAGACATGATAAAAATGATTTAGAAAGTATAAGAATAAAAGGAGAGTCAGCAGCAGATGGAAGGAACTCCACGTCAGGATGTGACTTGTGCCTGGAAAGAGGCTTAAGTCAGGGCAAAGATCAGGGGAGAGAGGGCAATCTTACAGAAGAAAAGGTGGGGTTCATTTCTGGGGAGCTGAAGGAGACGCCTGGGGACTGGAGAGAGCCGGGCAGAGAGTAAGGACCGGCTGGCTGCCCAGGTGTGCCATGCCACACGGCTCCTGCGTCTCTTCCCATGTTCCCATTGACTTGTTTATTTTGGTGCACTGGCCAAATAACAAGTTCCAGAGAAGAGAATAGAAGTGATTCAGGCAATCGTGAGAGAACCATGGACCTCAATGAGCCTTCCCCGTATTCCTACTTCGTCTGTAAAGTTAGCCCAGTGAAATGCGCCACCAACTTCCCGGGAGGGTTTTGAGAACGAATGAATGAGTATATGAAGCATGCCATTTCAAGAGCATGGTTCTCTGTACACCTGCTGGAAGCAGCAACGGTCCGAGGAGGGACAGGAGCGTATGTTCCTTCAAACTGCAGCACTTGCCTAGTAGATTTGCTTTACTTAAAGAGATCAGGTAAATCTTTCGGAACATATTTTAAGACTAAAAATTCTAAGAAGCTGGATCTGAGATTTCCTGATGAAAAAGATTCCATTCCCAAGAAAGCAAAGGATGCCTTTAAGTAGGATTTACTTCCTACTAAGTTTTCCCCACTAGGAAAATCCTGCCCACGTCCGTCAACTCCTAGCAGTCAGATCTGGAGGAGCTGTTAAAAACCCTGCCCCCTTGGAAGGTCTTAAAGTGGTAAATTATAAGCCTGGAAAGGCAAAGAGAGCAAGCTGTGAGAACCTTTCTGGAACTTCTCTGTTCTTAACGAAGAACACAGTTTTAACCGTGGGCCACATCTGAAAATGCCCTGAGGTGTATCTCCTTGGGGTCCAGAGAAAGAGGCTCTCCCTGCTTCTCAGCCCAACCCAGCTCTCCCTCAAAGGACTGTGTGGGCATCGGGTTCTTTGCTGCTGTCTAGCCTGTCCCCATTCCTGTGGCCACTTCCCAGTGGCAGAGCAGGGGCGTGGGATCCCAGGTCAGCCTGACTCAGAATGGAGCTGCATGGTTTGGGGGAGAAGATGGAATTAGCCAAATGTGGGGGAGGGATGGATGTTTCCCCACTGTGACCCTGCCACGGGGTCATAGCGAGCATCCCTGGGAAGAAGGTCCCTCACAGACCCCCCGTGTCTGACGCCCGTCTTTTCTGCTCCACCTACACACAGCTGCCTTACCTCAAAGCCAAAGAAGCTCATACGTAATCGAGTGAAGTTGGAGCGACCCCCCCAAGCAGTCCCCACCACATCCTAACCTGGCAGACTGGGTGAGTTCCCCTTTCAGACCTTTAATCCTCCACTTCCGGGTGCTAGAATGATCCTCAGCATTCCTTGTCAGGTAGGAAGAGTGCAATGAGTGTCAGATCCTAGTGACAGAAGAGTTTATCAGCAGCAGAGTGAGGAGTGTTCGTTACGGGGAAACCCCTTCCTTTCTAAAGAAGCCCCATGAACTGCTGGTACCCTCTACCCCTTTCCTTTCCATCACTGTCCCTTCATGCGGGTGAATTCTCTCTTTTAAAGTTGGCAGTGGTCCCGGAACAGCGGGGAAGGTGGGTGTCAGAAGTCGAATTGCACTTCTTTGGTCAGAATTCCAGGCAGCATTTGATTTGGGTTCTGATTGTGCCAGGCTGACTTCAAAATGCCAGGCAAGAAGGAGAGAGGGGAGACAGAACGGTTTAGGCACCTGCTCTGGGCTGGGCCCGGCCCAATGTTTTAGATGCTTTGCAGTGTCAGGATGCATCTTAAGAAAAAAGGCAGGAGGCTCAGATCCCATCTCGGTCCTGGCCAAATGCTTATTCTTAATCAACAAAGGGAATCAGGTACCTTGAGACCTTTAAGAAGCGGCCCACAGCAAAATGAACCCCAAGTTCAGCTCCTTTTGTGGCTTTAAATGTAGGCATAGAGCGTTATAATCTCGTGGCCATTTGATCTACTGAAGAGTCCAGCAGATGCACATAACCTGCTTTCTTCACAATTCCTGCCTTTTCTGATGCTCCTAAGACGTCACCTCTAAGTAGATGTTATGTCCTATCAGTGCCTGTTGGGTACAGGAGTTATGGGTCCCTCTATCTGGCTTTATTCAGTTTCTAGTTTGCTGGACCATCAGTGGGGATGTCTGGAAAAATTTGACAGCTGTGAGTTGAATCATCAGAAAAAAACAGGACCCAAATTGGCTTCACTGACTGCATTTCAGGCTCCCATGCTTGGCAGACATTTCTTATTCTTGAAAACTTATCTATAATGATTTTAAACCAGGCTTTATGGTGCCTTAGTATTTGATAGAAGAGAAGGGGAGCTAACTTTTATTGAGTGCTTGCTGTGTACTCAAAGGCTGGGAGCTTCTACTAACATAAATGAGCTCATACGATCCTCACTGCAAACTTGCAAGGGAAATACCCAGATCTTTTAGTTTTATAGATGAGGCGCAGAGAAAGTAAAGTGCCTTGCCCAAAGTCACACAGCTGGATGGAGCTGGAATTTTAGCCCTGCGCTCTGTGATCCCAAAGCCCTGTCTTTTCCCACCAGGCCAGTGGTTCTTAATGTTCGGTCCCCACACCAGCAGCATGAGCATCACTGGGCTCTTGTTAGAAATGCAGATTCTCGGGCCCATCCATGACCTACTGACTCAGCAGCTCTGGGGTGGGACCCTGCAGTCTGTGTGGTAACAAGTCCTCCAGGGTTTTCTGATGCACTCAAGTTTGACAATCCCTGAAGTACCCCAAGCTCCCTCTTAGTCCTTATGAATTAAGAGAGCGTACAGTCCCGACTACGCTGTTCTTGTGTCCACTCCCACTTCTTGGTCTGTCTTTCGAGCAACAGTCACCCCTCTGTCCTTACTACAGGTCATAAAATACTCCCTTACATGCCGTCCACACCCTGGCTCTAGCTCGTGTGGTCAGGCAGCTGCTGCAAAGCCTAGGGCCCAAGATTTCACCAAGATTCATTCATAAAAGGATGGCAGATCGTCTCTATATGTGGTACCTCCAGTGGCTAAACCATCTCACCCAAGTAAGGAACTTCTGATTTCTGGCACGCTCTCTCTGGATCCTCCAAATTTTCTGGATCATGCCCAGTCTCACCTGATCCAAATATATGATTATTTGACTGAAAACAGCAGGCTCTGGAATTTATGGGCACCCCTCACATGTCTACACACTTGAGATGGTCTTGAAACCTGCCGTATTTCACCACCTACAGCTAGTGAGGACTCAAGACAAATTCGAAACCAAAAGATATTTTGGTCCTCGAAGTAAAGTTTTATCAGATTGAGCTGAATTATCATTAACAATAACTGTTCTCTGTGATGTGGTAAGAAAATGAGAAATGGGTAAAAAGTGGTACAGCCTGCCTCCCTGATAAAACCAAAGAGGTCTTTTGACTCATTACTCATGGGGGTTGAAAGTTCTGCGTGACGTATATTCTTTGTCACTAACACTTGGGTGTACAGTCAACTGGTCTTGCCAATGTATTAATAAGCTACTAATCATGTCTGTGTCAGTTCCTCTCTTTAACATGACCTCTCTTCTCTTCCTTCTGCTTTCCTTTGTTCAGAGAAGCAACAGAAAACTCGCCCATTATGGATGGGTCTGAGTCTCCAACTCACCAAAGTACTGATGAATAGAGGTATCGTAAGGGAATGCTTTGTTCTTACAGCCCTTCCGCTTCCCCCTCATGACTTTGTGGTCTCAGATGTGCTGCACGTGGGTTGCCCTTCCCCATATCTTAACTTGCAGAAGGAAACATCTGAATGGTGTGGAAGCTACTGTTTGTATGTCTTGTTTCTAGATACATGTGGATCTCGATATATGTTTATATGTATGTTTTGCATCAGATGTTAGGTGCTCCCAATGCTACTGCCCAGGAAAGACCTCAGAGTATGCTTTGCACCTTCCCAGGCTCTACAGGCATACACATACTTGTAGAAGCTTTTACTGGTTTAGTAAATGTCTGGGGAGCACTTCGGAGCCATGGTCCCCAAGACCCAAAGCAGTCAGACTCAAATAAGTCAAAGAAAGGCCCCATTGAAGGAATCGCTTCCTTAGTAATCAATGCCCATGAAAAGAACAACATCATGTAGTTTATGGTTCAAAATACCAAGGGCAGACGGAATTGTTCCAGAAGCACCTGGAGATCACCCATTATTTCGTCCCCGCATTCTTGAGTGACAGCTAGGTACTCTACCGAATGCTGTTTTCCAAAATGTGGTCCATAGACGAGCATGAGCAGCAGCAACAGCAGCAGCAGCAGCAGCATCAGCAGCAGCAGCATCACCATCACCATCACCTGGGAGCTTGTTAGAAAGCTAGGCTCCTGGGCCTAGTGAATTTGAATCTGCATTTTAACAAGATCCCTGGGTGAATGAAATGCACGTTAGAATTCTCAAAGCACTGCTATAGTGGGCATAAAAACAGTAACACCTGGTCTGGTTCCTGTCCTCAGGGACCAAAATCTAACTGGGACACAAGACATTGAAATTAAATAGCATTTCAAGGCTTACCAAAAAAGATAAGGATGCCATTCAAAAGTGGATAAAAAGCCATAAGTTTATTTAATAAAAAAATTGAACTCTGACTATATTCAAGAAACCATGTTAGAGATCGGAGTTCCAGGAGTTCAAATTGAAATCAACAATATAAAAGTCTATCAGGAGACATACAAGGGAAGTAAGAAACTGTGGCATTTTTGTATTAAGTGCTCTGAGACTTTAAACAAAGTGCTAAAAGGATTCCGAGGCCTGACTTCAAAAGCTTGCAATGGGAGGAGAGGGGGTTAGACAGGTGGGGCTGAGAGAGGCCGTGCCAAGGGCAAAAACACAGATGCAGAAACAAGCAGGGTGCTTGGGGGTCAGCGCAGAGTCCCATTTTGCTGTAGAGAAAGAGCCGGACTTCAGCCTGAAAAGTCAAGGAGGACAAGAGCCTGAACAAATTAGGAGAGTGACAGGGAACAATATTTACTGCAGGTCCCGGGAGTTGCCACATGGAGGATTAGGAAAATAGGGGCTTAGCCTTTGAGAGGAAGGTGGTGGTAAAAAAAATTCAACTGAGTAAAACTGAGAGATCTTCTTGGCTTTATTGAATTATTCATGAAATGGGCAGCATCCATCCAGCAGGAAGGAGCTCCAAGGAGCTGTACAAAATGGAAGACTTTTACAGGCAGAGAGGAGCAGGCACAAGGAAGCTATACTAGGCAAAAAAGCAGGTCGTTATTGCAAGGTCACCTTCCTTTAGGGGGTGGCTAGGGTCTGTCAGGAAGATCATCTAGCTAGTGCTGATCAGGAGATTCCTGAGGGACTGGTTTAAGATTCCATTTCTGGGAGAGCCGAAACTAATTAAGTCTTGATTTGGTGACAAGGAGTTTAGTGTAACTGACACCATTTTGGATCTTTGTCTTATTAACAATTCTCCACTTTTGACCAGATTCTCAGCCTGGGAGATGTGATCAACATTTAAGGCGTTAACACTGCTCCCAGCTACCGCTCTGGAGTTCTCGCAGTTTTTTGCTGAATTTCTGTGTGGTATTCACAGGTCGTGACATCATGTTCACATTCTTTAAGTCAGTCATTCTCTTTGTTCCTTTTCTGACGATCTATTCTTAGATCATTTATTTGCTTGGTGGTTAGCGGTCGAGAACATGCATTTAAAGCTTTTGAGAGAATGCAGCACACCAGGGAGATTATAATTATTATAAACAGGATCATCCCGATGTCTGGAGAGCACTTAGGAGCCGTGGTCCCCAAGACCCAAAGCAGTCAGACTCAGATAAGTCAAAGAAAGCCCCCATTGAAGGAATCACTTTCTTAAGCCGATGTTCAGTGATCTTATGTAACTGAGTCTCAACTTCCCCGTGTTAACCCAGGTGCGGCAAGTAGTGCTGGCCGCAGCACAGACACCTCCTTGCTCAGCTAAAAGATAATCAAGGGCTATCTTATTATCAAGAACTTTGGCCAGAGAGCCTAGGGATTTTTGTTGAGCAGCTGTTGCTTTAGTAGCAGATTCTGCAGTATCTTCAAGAGTTAAGGAGAGGTTCCTGATCACAGCCTCACTCACGCTTACTCCGAGCCAGGGGAGCAGAGCTCTGCCAAGGGAAGCAAATTCTGAATCCTGAATGCTTTTTGGTAATTGCCGCTTGAGTCTGTGGCTCAGGACTCAAAAGCTGACAGCCATGGAGGCCAGAAAAATGTAAGCATCTGTATACCACACAGGTGGTTTCATTTTGGCTACCCTTGCTTTATATCCCTTTCTTTGTACAGAGGCTGGAGGCCAAGTTC